GAAATCAACAGGAAGCACCAATTGTGGAGAAAATACTGCGTCACTAGACAAGCTGAATGCCTCAACACCTACAAGACACAGAGGAACAAACTGAGGAACCTGATCATGAAAACGCGACGGGAATTCGAGAAGAACTTGCTACAAAAAGCAACGCAGAACCCAAAATTGCTCTACAGCTACCTCCGACGAACTACAAGGAACAGGCATCAAATCCCCTTGATAAAGACTACTGATGGCGTTGAGATCGCTGATAGTAGGGATAAAGCTGCGTATTTTTCACGGTTTTTCCAATCAGTCTATACAAACGAGGCAAGGTTCCTTCCTACCTCCACAGAAGAACTGCCGACTCCAAGCGTCAGTGATATACTCTTCTCAGAAGGCATTGTCCGAAGGGAATTAGAGGCATTGAACGAATCCAAGTCGCCAGGACCAGACGAGATTCCATCCAAGCTTCTGAAGGAACTTGCCCGTGAGCTTTCTGTGCCTTTGTCGATGCTCTTTCAAACTTCATTTGACACTGGAACACTTCCTATCGATTGGAAGCTGGCGCATATTACTCCGCTACACAAAGGAGGTAACAGGGCAGCGACGACAAATTACCGGCCCATAAGCTTGACATGCATTCTCTGCAAAGTTATGGAAAGGATCATAAAGTGTGAACTAATGCAATTCCTGGAAGTTCACGGCCTGCTATCGAAATGCCAACATGGGTTCCGAAAGGGAAGATCCTGCACGACAAACCTGCTGCAATCTCTCCAGAGCTGGACCCAAGCTTTCGACGACAGGCACGCGGTCCACATAGCCTTCATCGACTTCCAGAAGGCTTTCGACACTGTGCCACACCAAAGGCTCGTACATAAGCTGAAAAAAATAGGGATCGGTGGCAACTTCCATAAATGGATCGAAAACTTCCTTGTGGGTCGACACCAGGTTGTGTGCGTCGGTCGGGGAAAATCAGATCCGGCTATGGTCGAAAGTGGTGTCCCCCAGGGTTCAGTACTGGGACCCATTTTGTTCCTTATCTACGTGGACGATGCCGCAAGAGATTTGGACTGTGAAGTAGCAATGTTTGCGGACGACATGAAGATATGGAGTGTAATTCGTGGTACTGCC